GGGGGGGGGGGGGGGGGGGGGGGGGGGGGGGGGGGGGGGGGGGGGGGGGGGGGGGGGGGGGGGGGGGTCGCAAGTCACTGCAACACTAGAACCCAGTCTCCACACATCCCATAAATCTAGACTGTTCTATACAAACATAAGAGAAACTCTCAGTTCGGAATAAAAGGAAATATATTTTAGCAGTGTAAGTAGAGATATTCGTCTATTATGATCTTGTAACTGTTGCTACGCCCGTGCCTTTTTAAAAAAGACTTTTCGATAATTAGCAGGGACACTATAAAGTTACACTTCTCTTTCTTAATTTTAGACAAAATGTCAAGAAATCAAAATTGCAATTCTGATGAAACTTTGCCGAATTGCTAATATTACAAGCCTGTATATTTCCTTCTGTTTTTAAATTATGATTTGTGTGGTGAAATAAGAAAAATATATAGATAACTGATTGAAATCACTGAGTATAGTTTAACAGTTACACAAACAGTGCAAGCACACTTACCTAAATTTGAGGAAGATTAGCTGAATCCAGACCCATGCAACAAGAAGAAGCACCACCATTTGAGGAAAAGCGAAACCAAACCACGAGGCAAAGCTAAAACCTGGGCTGTTGGGATAGAGACTGCAAAACAATCAAGAAATAAAAACACGCATTAGTTTACCAAATAATCGAAAATAAAGCCTGATTTATAAAAACGGCGGCCTCATGGTTGGCGCGCTCGTCTCCGGAACGAGCGGTCCGGGTTTGAGCCCTGGCCAGGGACACTGTGTTGTGTTCTTGGACAAGACACTTTACTCTCACAGTGCCTCTCTCCACCCAGGTGTGTAAATGGGTACCGGCGAATTTGATAATGAGGGTAACCCTACGATGGACTAGCATCCCATCCCCAGGGGGGAGTAAAAATACTCCTAGTCACTTAATGCTACAGAAACCTAGATAAGCTCCGGCCTGATGGGCCACTTGGCCCGTATGTATGCAGACTTTACCATTACCTATAAAAATTACACGCCACATTTCAGTAGCCTCGATACAAGCCAGACAGAACTCTCACTAAAATCTCTACAAACCAACCCAGTTACAACATAGACACAAGAACTTAACCCCACGATGTTCTATACTTTTTAACCGCGGGGCCATGGGTCGAGCGCGGTTCATGGTTTACCCGTGGTTTTTTTTTTAACCGCCCGGCCATGGGCCGAGCGCGGTTCATGGTTAACCCGTGTTTTTTTTTAACCGCGCGGCCATGGGCCGAGCGCGGTTCATGGTTTACCCGTGGTTTTTTTT